TAATATATATTAGCTAGCAAGGTGTTAAATTTGGAAAGATTATATTTTTTTCCCAGGCAATGCAAGAAATACATTTCTGCCACAACCTTCCGACCATTGTTTGCAATACAGAATATATCACGCTTTACGAAAGTGACTTTCTTTTGGCGTGATCCAAAATTAAACCAGGTTCTCCAGAGCTTTAATCAGAAAGACAAATATTCTGAGGGCACACAGAAATAAAAAATGGATTTATTCCATACCAATTTAACAGTCACAGTGTTTCCCAAAGTTTTCCCTGGGTAGAAATACCTGTACCACAGTTGCTATCACCATAGCCAGGATTCCTCCTTGGCATTCTCTGAATTGATCAAAAAAGGCTGTGTATTTTTCCACACTTTCTGTCTGAAGCTAATGACAGTAGTCTTGCTTCATGCAATAAAGCTTGCCCACATGTTTTTTGAGTGAAATACAGGCAAAAACGGTTCAGGGCCCGCCTATCTCTGTGATAGCATCTCCGTCTATGAACTGGCACGGACACTAGGATCCACAGGGGAGGCCCTCCTCTGGCTCCCACCGCCGTCTCAAGCCCGGTTGGTGGGGACAAGGGAAAGGGCCTTCTCAGTGGTGGACCCCTGTCTCTGGAATGCCCTCCTCAAGGAGATAAGGCTGGCCCCATCCCTCACCTCCTTCCGTAAGAACTTGAAAACTTGGTGGTTTCTTCAGGCCTTCGATAATGACTAGTCCTCGGGAAGGCGGATCTGGCCAAAGTGGTCCACGCCTTAGTCACCTCTAGACTGGATTACTGCAATGCACTCTACGTACGGCCTGGAAATTTCAGATGATCCAACGGGAGTGGTCAACCCTCCTGTTCAAGGAGCTCCACGGGCTGCCATTCATTTATTGGACCCAATTCAAGGTGCAGGTTCTTACCTACAAAGCCCTGAATGGTTTGGGACCCGCCTACCTGCATGACCGCATCTCTGTATACGAACCCACACGATCCCTTCGATCATCCGGGGAGGCCTTGCTCTCGATCCCACCAGCATCGCAAGTGCAGTTGGTGGGGACGAGAGAGGGCCTTTTCGGTGGTGGCCCCTCGACTCTGGAACTCACTCCCTAAAGACATCAGACAGGCCCCAACTCTGGCAGTCTTTAGGAGGAGCTTGAAGACGTGGTTGTTCCAGTGTGCCTTCCCGGAATAATGATCCCATAGCACTTTGTCCTCCAAAGCACTTTACATTTTTAGGTCTGCTCGTATGCCCTTCCACAAACGCCACTCTCACCTTTTTGTCCATGTCCCAGCATTACCTTCAATTTTAACTTTACATTTGGCCTTCCCATTGTTTTTAATTGTGTGTTGTCTTATTGATAATGTTGTATTTTTTATTATCTATGTTTAATTTTAATTGCTTGTACTGTTGTTGTTGTTATTATTATTGCTTGTACTGTTGTGTTTGGGTTCGGCCTCATGTAAGCCGCACCGAGTCCCTTGGAAGATGGTAGCGGGGTACAAATAAAGTATTATTATTATTATTATTATTATTATTATTATTATTATTAGTCTCAAATCTCAAGCCCTTGGTCCAACAGTTAGGATTTGGCCTTATACTCCATCCATTCCCCAGTCCCCGGTCATCTGAGGGCATCTTTTCTTCCGGCCCAGACCTTTTCATAGTCCTTTAATTGGCCCTGGAATTTAGTGGCCCCGATCCCTTAGTAGGGTCATTGCTGAGATTGATCCTTGTACTATAGCATTCAGCCAGCCCCATTTTCCCCTTCTCCTTGGCCCAGCCTGTTCCAAATAGTCCAGGCCCCTTATTGAGATTTTGCCCTGGCAGCTTACCTTGCATGAAAAAGAGAGTGGAACTGGTTTTAAATTTATTTTAATGTATATGTTGTGTTAACGGTTTATGCCTATGTTTTTGTTTTATATGGTATGTCTTTGTATTATTTTGCTTATGTGGAAACCGCTCTGAATCCCCTAAGGGAGATAGAGCGGTATACAAATAAAGTTATTATTATTATTATTATTATTATTATTATTATAATAATAAAACTTTCTTTGTACCCCGCTACCATCTCCCCAAGGGACTTGGTGCGGCTTACATGAGGCCAAGCCCATAGTACATCAATAAACAAAAGCAATAACAATAATCAATACAAAACAGTTAAAATAAACTCAAAAACAGAAAATACACAATAAGCAATAAACAATATCAAAACATACAGCATTTAAAAATCTATGGCCGGGCCAAATGTAATAATTCAAATTTAAAATCAAAGTGCTGGGCATGAACAAGGTAAGGCAAATTAAAATAGGGTTTTCAGAGAAAGATGAGGGCGCGCAGACAATCCTAAGTCAATATTAAAGTGCATTTGAGGACATATTGCTAAGAGTTTTCCTTATTCTGGGAAGGCACACTGGAACAACCACGTTTTCAGGCTCCTCCTAAAAACTGCCAACGTTGGGGTATCATTCTTTATTATCTCCAGTTTGCAAACAAGATATGTTCTATAGATTTGTTTTACCACCTTATCAAACTGGGACGTTTTGGCCCTTTGCAACACTTTGGGGACGGAGCCTGCCAGGTGCCATCACTTGATGCTCACAGGCCTCAGCCCATTTATTCTCGAAGTGTGAGGAGGTCCCTTAAATTGAATTTTCCATAGATAGATAGATAGATAGATAGATAGATAGATAGATAGATAGATAGATAGATAGAGTGGGCTTTGGAGAGCATAGGGAAGCACCCCTGTGCAGTTTGTTTTGCTGTCTGTGCCCCAAGTTCAGAAGATTTCACCCCAGTTTCTGTCCCTGTGATAACTGGATTTTGAAAAGTTGGCTTGTTGTGAAAACAAGGATTGGGGATAAAGCTTCAGTGGAGACACCTTTTCCCCATGATCATTCTTCCAGGAGTTAGTTTCCCTTCCAAGGGGTAGATTTCTCTCACTTCCTGTTTTCTCACTCCTGTTCTTATCTATGAGTCGTTTGTAAGTTGGATGTTTGTAATTTGAGGACTGCTTCTACCCTTAATTTCTTACTGTTGGTTATGCTGATTAGGCATGAGGAGAAAGTCTCAAATAGCCAGAGGGTTTCTGTTGAAGTCCACTGTAACAAACTGACACTGGACATGTTTTGTGAAATGTTTCCATTCCATTTGGGGCCGGGGGGAGTTGGTTTTTTTTAGAATGACAGGCTGTTTCCTCCAAGAGATAACTAAATCCAATGAGAGCATAATAATCATCATCATCATAATCATAATAATAACAACAACAACTTTTTTATATTCCGCCCAGGGGGATTCAACAACAACAACAACAACAACAACAACTTTTTTATATTCCAGCCAGGTGGACTCAGGGCGGATTCCAACATACAAAAAGGCAAACAAACATATATATTTTTTGACGTGTCAGGAGCAACTTGAGAAACTGCAAGTCACTTCTGGTGTGAGAGAATAGGAAGTCTGCAAGGATGTTGCCCAGGGGATGCATGGATGTTTTGATGCTTTACCATCCTTATGGGAGACTTCTCTTATGTCCCTGCGTGGGGAGTTGGAGCTGACAGAGGGAGCTCATCCATGCTCAAATACCAACATAATAATCCCACATAAGCCCACATATGAGTACAATATTAGAAGAAATCAAACAAAACATAATCAAACAAAATATATAATGACATAAAATCTGAACATAAAACATCCACAATTAATTTACAGGGGCCAATGAAGCATCTCATAACATTAGCGAATTTTGCAATTTTTTTTTTGTCATGTCAGGAGCGACTTGAGAAACTGCAAGTCGCTTCTGGTGTGAGAGAATTGGCCATCTGCAAGGACGTTGCCCAGGGGACGCCCGGATGATTTGATGTTTTTATCATCCTTGTGGGAGGCTTCTCTCATGTCCCCATATGAGGAGCTGGAGCTGATAGAGGGAGCTCATGCGCCTCTCCCTGGATTCAAACCTGCGACCTGTCAGTCTTCAGTCCTGCCAGAACAGGGGTTTCACCCACTGCGCCACCAGGGGCTCCAATTTTGCAATAACCTATGCTTTATCTGGTCAGGAACAGGTAGTACTTATTATGCTGAAACTAGGGTGGGACGTGTATGTGGTTCCAATATAGCTAAGTGGTGGAATGGATGGGATGTATCATTGAATATTTCTTCTCTAGGATGAGAGAAAAGGGAAGACAGTGAATGAAAAGTTCTTAGGTGGCCAGGATAAAAAAGTAACAGATGTAGTGTAGATACACTTCTACCCAAGTTCTTGTGACAAAAAAACCTTAAATCACCTTAGGCATTCATCCCAATTTCATGTCATCTGCAAATCTGATAAGCATACAGATGACACCAAAAAAAATTTTTTTGGGTGGGTGGGGGGAACTAAATACCCTAGAGGACAGGACCAGAATCCAAAATGGCCTTAAGTGATTAGAGAGCTGGGACAAAGTTTGTTTTCTACTGCTCTGGAGATTAGGACACAGAGCAATGGATTCAAATTGCAGGGGAGAAAATTCAACTTAAATGTTACAGTGGTTCTCAACTTGGGGTCCCCAGATGTTTTTGGTCTACATCTCCCAGAAATCCCAGCCAGTTTACCAGCTGTTAGGATTTCTGGGAGTTGAAGGCCAAAAACATCTGGGGACCCCAGGTTGAGAACCACTGTGTTAGGAGGAATTTCCTGATGGTAAGAACTATTCGGCAGTGGAATATACTCCCTCAGAGTGTGGTGGAGTCTTCTTCTTTGGAGGTTTTTAAGCAGAGGCTGAATGACCATCTGCCAAGAGTGCTTTAATTGCGCTTTGCCTGCATGGCAGAGGGTTGGACTGAATGGCCCTCGTGGTCTCATCCAACACTACGATTCTATGACCGCAATATGTTTTCCATGAGTCTAGGAGCATGTTTTTAAATGTGTGGTTATTCTACATCTTTGTTCTTTGCCGTTCTTGTATGCCAATGTTATAGGCAAAAATTATGTTATTGCAATGGACTTACGCTCCTCCCATTTTTTCCCCACAGACAATGCCTCCCTTTAGCACTGGGATCATGGGCCATCACCGGGCACGTCGCCGCTGACCCAGTTTCCCCCTCCTTCATCTCCATCTAAAGATGGCCAGTGCCAATGAGACTGAAGAGGCCCACGGCTCAGCACCCCATGCAGCCTCCACCTATGCCAAGCTGTTGCTTCTGGGACTCATAATCTGCGTGAGTCTGGCAGGGAACCTATCCCTCTCGCTGCTTGTGTTGAAAGAACGTGGCCTCCACAAGGCCCCCTATTACTTCCTGCTGGACTTGTGCCTGGCTGACGTGATCCGCTCAGCTGTCTGCTTCCCTTTTGTCCTTGTTTCGATCCGCCATGGCTCTGCCTGGACCTACAGTGTGCTGAGTTGCAAGATCGTGGCCTTCATGGCTGTCCTTTTCTGTTTCCATGCTGCCTTTCTCCTCTTCTGCATCAGTGTCACGCGCTACATGGCTGTGGCCCACCACCGCTTCTATGCCAAACGCATGACCTTCTGGACGTGCATAGCTGTCATCTGCATGGTGTGGACTTTGTCAGTAGCCATGGCCTTCCCGCCAGTCTTTGATGTTGGGACTTACAAGTTCATCCGTGAAGAGGACCAGTGCATCTTTGAGCACCGCTACTTCAAAGCCAATGACACTCTGGGCTTCATGCTCATGCTAGCTGTTCTGATCTTTGCCACCCACGTGGTTTACATCAAGCTCCTTCTCTTTGAGTATCGCCATCGTAAGATGAAGCCTGTCCAGATGGTCCCAGCCATCAGCCAAAACTGGACGTTTCACGGGCCTGGAGCCACAGGCCAAGCTGCGGCTAACTGGATTGCTGGCTTTGGCCGTGGCCCCATGCCTCCCACCTTGTTGGGCATTCGGCAGAACGCCCACGCTGCCAACCGGCGCTTGCTGGGCATGGAAGAATTCAAGGCTGAGAAGAGGCTAGGTAGGATGTTCTACGTCATCACTTTGCTCTTCTTGGTTCTCTGGTCACCCTACATCGTGGCCTGCTACTGGAGGGTATTTGTCAAAGCCTGTAGCATCCCCCACCGCTACCTCTCCACAGCTGTTTGGATGAGCTTTGCCCAAGCGGCTGTCAACCCTATAGTTTGCTTTCTACTCAACAAAGACCTCAAGAAGGGCTTGATTGCCCACATTCCCTGCTGGAGGACAGAGCCTGAACTACCCAGAGAGCCTTACTGTGTGATGTGAGCAGTGCTGAGGGTTTGGTTGGAAGGCATCTGCCTGTGCCAAACAGAATTTGGGTTTCTTTATTCCTTTCTTCTTTCACACCACACGAGATGCCAAATGATGGGTCGTTTTTCTTCCCCTGCAACTTTGGTGATGGGTCCCCGGAGTATTTGGTGTCACAAACAGACTGATCTCTCAGTTATCCTAGGGCAAGCATTCCACCTGTTAACTGCAGTGAGATCAGAGCTGGATTCTGGTCTCACCACCCCTGGGGTAAATCTAGAGCCATATGATGACAGTAACTGGTCCCCAGTCGTATTCTAGCCAGTTCTTCAAGGAGGTGTATTTCACGGAGCTTTTTCAAAAGTAGTCTTCAAGTTCTATTAATATGCTTAATAGAACTTAATTTTCAGACACCTCAAAAATCACAGCGCCAAAATACAAGATTTCTTAATGCCCATTGTTTCTCTTATCTGTCAATTCTAAGGTATGTGTAGTGTCACTGAAAGGAGACTGAGTCAGATATTTGGGCTTAGAAGGAGCCATTCCACTCAGTAGCCCCAGCAAGGCTGATATGGTTTTAAACCTGAAGGGCGGAGATGGAAGCAGTGCTCTAGTGATAGAATCAGCTTGCTTGTATGATTAATTTTCTGATCTACTCAGTTAATCCATCATTTAAATTAATTCCACATGGCATCAACATTTAAAGGAGCAGGTGCAGAGGTAGGAAAGATGGAACGTAGTGAGATGAAGAAGAAAACAGGCAGCGAACACAACTGTTCCGGGGAATGCCAAGGAGCCAGCCGTGACTTAGCTCTTTGTCAGTCAGAAGCTGTAACCAGGGAGCCTTGGAAACCCCACCTCAGTTGCTATGGCAGCAACCAATCCAGAGCCCCGTAGAGCATGTCACCCTGGAACAATGCAAGCAGGAGGATATGGGGTGGGGTGTGGGGGAGGAGAAACCCACCAAGACACCCTAATGCACTCTTTGAAGAGTGGGAAAAGACAGAGACATCAATGTGCAAAACAGGCAAGGAAGAACCTCCAAAGCTGCAGAAAAGGCAGGGTGGCTACAGGGGGATCATGAGCAATGATGTCAGCATGGCACATGCCCTGCTGACAGCAAAGCCAAAACATCATTGTTGCAAAGCTTATTCAGCTCCATAGCGCCCTCGCCCATTCTCACGCATTCAGATGGCACAGCACATTGCTCTTGATCTCGCTGTGTCACATTGCCACAAAGCCATTCACATATTTGTTGTGAAACACTTAGGAGACCAAGGATGAGAAGCGTGCCACTCCAGAGTTGATGTCTCATATCTGGATTTGTTTCAGTGGACTGGTCAGTGCTTGGGATCATTGCAGGGAAGCAGACAAATAGCCTCACAGGTTGTATAGAAAGGCTTCATATTTTTATGTCCATTTCTGAGAAGGGTAGAAAGTGCGGAGATGATGAGGAGATGGGTACAGTGAGAAGGAAACAGGACTTCAGTTTGGTTTGTAGAGATTTTTTTTAATGGGAAGGGGAAATATGGGAGTCAGACATCTCTGTTCTCTTTTCATCTAAAATTATGACCGGGATCTGACAATCCAAGTAGGAATCTGGGTTCCTTCTTAGCTGTGATGCCCACCTATCCCAATGTTGCATTATCCTGCATTACAGGTGCTCTTGAAAAGTCAGTCCCAACAATCCGTAGCTACGTCGTTTGATGAGGGGAGAACGGATACAGGACCTTCCCAAAACAAGTATTTTTCATAATGAGGTATGCTTTATGAGATAGGGTGGAAGAAAGGCTTCAGGATGAAATAGGTGGCAGGAAAAATGAGGCCATAAAGCAGTATTGTTGCCAGTATTGTGGGAGAAAAGCAAAAGGACCTGAGGAGGAAGAGGTCAGGGGAAGAGTTGAGAGAACATAGCACAGGAATCCAAGCCTGAGGTTGCAGGGAGGACACGTGGAACAAGATGAGCGAACGGCGTGGGGATTGGGACTTTCCCCGGTTTTCCCCTTCCAAAGGACCCTGATGTTGATTTCTGCCTCTGAAGAAAAGACTGTTCATCTTACCCTCCAGTCCTGCTACCACAGTATGGCCTTAATCACTGGCCAGAATTACGGCCACCCGACGGAAATCCATATTTGAACAATATGGAAGATGAACATAGATTATTTCCAGAATTGTTTTCTTCTGGATAGAGACGTTAAAGAAGTTGGGGTTTTTTGTTTTGTTTTTCAATGGGGGAATAAAGAAATTGCAACTTTGTTGGGAGAGGGAGGGATGGGTGTGGGAGGGGGGCACAGGACAGACAGATGGATGTGTGTCCCCTGCAATGTACGCTTCTGAACTTCCTTCAGATGGGGGCAGCTTTGGGGTGGGTGGGTGAGGGGAACTGGTCCAGGGGGTGGAAATGGAGATTTGGGGTAAGGATTCAGTTTGATCCTGCCCCGCCACCCTCTTTTTGTGTCAAAATTTGTTTCCATTCCCCACTTTTTCTGGGGATTTTCTTGTTTCCTTTTCTTGTTTTTTTATATAAATATATAAAAAAGATGGAATGAAATGCAACATTCTTGGGTGATTTCTTTTGAGTCAGAGGCAAAAACTAAAATAAGCAAAGAAAACTCAAACTAGATACGACTTTGGAAATCCGTAATCTGATTTCACAAAGTCTTTTTTTAGGCTTCAAAGCAGCATTGTAAGTGAAGATGTACTCACTCTTCTTTTACTGTTTCTGGAAGTCCTAGTAGTTTCTATCATCAGTTAAAACTCCCAGAGAAGTCAGGTACATGGTGAGCACTTTTCCTTTTTTACTTCTGTAGCTGACAGTAACATGGGGGTAAAGGACCATTTCTGTCAAGGGAATTGTCTCACTAGATATATTTAACTCCCCTTCTCTAATGCTGTGTGTCTAATTTGGCCCTGAAAAAATAGGGTATTTTCTCCTTTTGTTTGGACTTTGCTCTGTTTCAGTCAAAGAAATTAAAGAATCTCTGGGATAATCCTGACACCTATAATGTTTCCATTCTGCACTGCTAAGGTAATACGAAGTGCATTTTGCAAAAATTGTAAGATTTAATGTGCACTGCTTCTGAGTTTGTGCAGCGTGCCTTTTTTTCCCTATGAAAGCCAAAAAGAACAGCGTAAGGACAGAATGCATTTATGCATAATGCAAGTGCATCTTCTTCTTAATCGTTTATTTATTTAGAAAAGTCTGAAAATTATCGTATATAAAATGGAGAAATAAGCTCTTCACGCATTTTACACACACCTCTTCTTGGTCTGGAGGATGAAATTCTGGCCTGAGTGGTAAAAATGTGGCAAGATGACAATCCTAATCTATATAAATAAAAATGTAATGTTCGTTTGTGGGATTAACATAACTCAAAAACCACTGGATGAATTGACACCAAATTTGGACACAGTATACCTATCAGGCCAACGAGTCACCATCACTCATAAAAACACTGAAAAACACAGAAGATACTTAAAAAGCCAAAAAATAAAAATACACTACAACGCATGCACTCAGGAGGGGGGGGGGAGGGGTTGGTGCTCATCTCCATTTCAAAGCCCAAGAGCCAGCATTGTCCATAGACACCTCCAAAGTCATGTGGCCGGTATGACTGCATGGAGCACCGTTACCTTCCTGCCAGAGAGGTACCTATTGATCTACTCACATTTGCATGTTTTCGAATTGCTAGGTTGGCAGAAGCTGGGGCTAACAGCGAGAGCTCTTGCTGCTCCCCAGATTTGAACCTGCGACCTTTCGGTTAGCAAGTTTAACAGTTCAGCAGTTTAACCTACTGCGCCACTGTGGGCTTCGGCATAACCACATGTGTATTTATGCATAACTACATAAATACACATATACACAAATATGTACACACACAAAACACATATACACAGACTGGGCCACAGCAACGCGTGGCAGGGGATGGCTAGTAGGGATACTAAGAACGATAAGGCATTTGAGAAAGAGTTCAATGAGAAAAATACTTATTTGCACACAGGGTGTGCATCTGTGTACAGTGTCAGGGCATTAGTATATTTATCAAATAACATTAATGATGTAGACTATTGTTGACAGGTGAGAAAAAGAGGAATTTCTAATAGCTTGCCCTCGTCTTGCAGCAAATTTTGGCTTGTTCTACACTGCAATATAATTCAGACGATCAATGCAGAAAATCCACATGGTTGGCTTTGAGCTGGATTATATGAATCTACACAGCCTTATAATCCAGTTCAAAGCAAATAATCTGGATTTTAAATGGCAGTGTATATGGGGTCTTTGTTGCATTTGAGTTAAAGAGGAAACAGCCACATGCATGTGTTCAATTTTCTTAAAACAAAATAATAAATCTATAACAACATCGCAAAAAAACCCCATAAACAACACAACAACCTAGACATTATTTTGTAAATTAAAACAAGTATTAGTCACCTGCCAGAAGACACTTAATAGTGATTTGCTACTATTTGCTACGGATTCACGTAACCCACAACCACCATATTGCCAAAAGGCTCTTTTATCTTCCTCCACTACAGAGACATTGGCCCAGCCTTCCTTTCAGGTACTTCTGTAGTGTATACGCAGTATATAGGAGTGAGCACCTAAGACAGAGCTTTCTAAATGTGTCATGTTGGCGATGCACTTTTTAGACACACATCATTTTGTGACACAGTCATTCAGTATTACGAGCAAACTGGAGATTAAAGCAACCCCTTATTAAAAGAAACAGACACATACATAAAGTATAATAACAAAATGTATGGGAACACAAAATATCTCATGAAAACCTTTGTGAGATGCAAACATATATTTCCAAGATTTTTTGGGTGGGGGTGGAATATACTGATCGCAACCTTTGCTGCATAAAAGTGCATGCAAGTTGGTATTACTCATTTCTCAGAGTCCGAGGTTTCTCATTACTTTAGTGCAACACACCTACACATTGCAGTCAACACACTAAATGTGTCAAAACACACAATTTGGAAAGTTCTGGTTTAAGGGATATTGTAGGGGAGAGTAGGGAAGGTGTGTCTGAGGGAAGTAAATATGTTGGGAGGCAATAGCCTTGGGATCAGAGGTATGCAAGGAGTCCCACAAAACAGCACTACGGGCCTGGATTTGGCCATCCTGAATACCAGTTGTCTATTCCTAATGTATAAAAAGTCGATGTTTCCTTAAAAAGGACTCAGAAATGAAAAGAAGCTGCTCCACATTGGCAGATACTTGCCTCAGAAACTGAAGGTACATGGAGAAGAATGACATTAGGCCTGATGTTGTATATTCATACCAAACTCTCCTTTGCCATTGCATTCATACAGAATTAAGCTTGTTTCTTCTGGCTCACTAGGGACCCTTCCACACAGCCCTATATCCCAGAATATTAAGGCAAAAAACCCCACAATATCGGCTTTGAACTGGGGCCCGTCCAGACAGTACCTTTACTGTGGTATCTACCGCAATAAAGGAGGGGCTGTCCAGACAATGTTCTGGACAGTCCTGATTTAATTCACTACAAACCAGGAAAACCCTGGTTTGTAGCAAATTAATTAGATAGTGGGTTTCTTCAGC